AAACATATAAAATATATAATAAAATTTAAGAAAAATTATAAGAAAAATGTTAATAAAAATTCGTTAATATTACAATAGTTTATAAAATGGGTGTTGGGATTCAGTTGAACTTTGCAAGAACAAGGAGTAAGAGACGATAATAGAGGTAAAATGTTGCAAATACTTGATCACAACTTAGACATAAGTTAATATATATATATATGATATAGACCACTCTAGTAGGTTTACTATGAAGATAAAGTAGTTTTAAAGGGCTTTAATGACAGTTTTTCTTTAGAAAGAATATCTGATGATGCTAAATTAATCAGAAAGTTTAATTGAGTAACTCAAATAATAGTAGGTTATAAGTACAACATCTAGTATAGAACCTAGTTATAGGCAGACTACTTAAATTAGACACTCAAAAGGTGCAGATATAGCTAGAATATAGGGTCTTTGCAGTAGAAAGGATGGATACTGCCAAAAAATAAAAATCGAGTTTTTGCTATATTTAGATAAATCTTGATGCAGGCTACATTTTTTAATTATAAATAGAAATAGATTTTTATAATAAAAAATTGTAATATTTTAAAAAAACTTTTGAAGGATTTCATACATCATGAGATTACCCAATATAACTGACTAATAAAATCACAAAAAGTTTAATTAATCCAGATCAGTCTGAACAAAACAAATTCGATTTTTTTAAAATCATATATATTAATATATCTGCCCTTTCTACTGCAAAGGCCCCATATACTCTTATTAATGTAACAGTTAAGGATAACCCATATAGTTATACTGACATTTGCAACCAAAGTTAATAATATATACCAAATCCTAAAACAAACACTTTAAAAAATAAAAAAATAAAGATATAAGCAAGGTCCCACCTTAATATTAAAAAAATATATATATATAGCAATTTGTCTTTTAAAATAACCACTATATTAAAAAAACACTATATATGCTATTTAAATCTTTACTATATTCTGAAAACATTCTTTAAGTTTTAAGAAATACTATATAATTGATGACTAATTGATTTATAAAGCAAAATCAAATAATATATAAATACTATACAAGATTTTAGATAACTTATTTTTTTATAAATATTCTTCATTGAACTATAAAAACCATATCTATCAGAAAATTGGTAGAAATCTTTCACTATCAGAAGCAAAAATCAAGAAAAGAGAAAAATTTGAAAAATATTATGAATTTTCCGTGATATGGTGATCTACGCCCGTTCACACCTTTTGAAAACAGCGTAAAAAGGTGTGAACAGACGCAAATAACTATATCACGAAATTCTCCAGATTTCCAAAACTTTAAAAGCCAGCTCTAATCGGATCTTCAATTTTTAATAATGATAATTTTCCAATTCTTCGATTCCCCACATAGGTATGTGGAAATTGTTGTTCACACCTTTTTTATGTTGTAAGTGGAAATGGAATTTAAATGGATTAGGAATTTATTTATATAACCCCTTACCCTAACCCAAATTTAACTAGGAAATTCCAAATCCATTCCAGTATATAGTTACGTTAAAATTACATATGAACGTACGTATTTACTATGCATAATTGCAAATTTTATTATTTCGACACACGTTAATAATAATTAACTCGCGAGTTAAATTTTCATGATTCGAAGAATGATAAATTCAAGTTATTCGAGTCACGAGTTGACGAGTCCTGTCATTAACACATACTATATATATATATATATATAAATTGTAATTTTTAAATTTAGTTTTTACAGAAAAATTATATTATAAAATTATGGATTCTTGTATATACATAATTACTACGTACTTGTAACAAAATAGAAATGCGTACGTACGTACGTACGAACGTACGTACGTACGTATTAGAATACGTATACGTACAGTATGCAGTATCAAAAAACATCATTCGAAAACATTTTACCATAAAAGATGCGATTAACATTGCACAAATATGGTAAATCCCCTGACCGCACTATTAGATTCTTGACACTTTCTTTATGACCTGACAACTCGATCAATTGTTAAGTTTTTACTCGCCTAAATATTGGCCAATTTTCATAGTATAACTGATTATAATCCTTCATTATAATCAAGGCGATTGAAAGAATATTATTTGACGGATATCGTTTCAGTGGCTTTAGAATGATTAAAAACCGGATCAGAAATATTACATTTCGTAAATGAACTATTTACGCACAAAATCAAAAGAATGTGAATGATGATAAAATGAATAACTACATAAAAATAAATTACAGCAGGACTAAAGACCAATGAATATTACAAATAGCAGTATCGAATAGTAAGAAAGTGTAGACACAAACCAATAATAATTCTATGAAATAACCAAAAAGTCGAACAATAGTTTATGTGCTATTATGTTTTTCCATCATCTCTACCCCGTCCCCTGGGTGCAAAGCCGTTCATGCCATTGCTAAAATGTCCACCACGCCCACCAACGTTACCTCTCGAAAAAAAACCATTCCCATTTCCACCTCTTATATTCCCGGTAAACGCACTGCGGTAAGGATTGTGTGTATGAACTGGCATATATTTATTCGTAAGACCATACATTTGTGAGGTCATTCGTTGTGAAGACGTTGATGAGGCTGATATATAACCATTCGATCCCAAAGATAAGTTACCATTATTACCATTACGAACTCTCATGATTGATCTCATATTCTGCGAACCATTTATGCTGTGATTCGCATTTAAATACATATTGTTATTTTTACTATTCCCAACACGCCCACCATAGTATGAGTTATGGTGGTTAGAATGAC